GTCACGTGGTTGATGACGTTACTGTTGATTATCTGTCCATCATCGTATAAAGCCCGCCCTGACAATTTGATTGGCCCGCCAGCTATTGTGCGAGCATACTCGCGCTACTGTTTAGAAATGCCAGACCGGACTTCCCGATCTCAAACGTTCAATCCCTGAAGTGTATCTATATACACTTCAGGGATTGTATTACATAGGAATTACTATACCTTGACATAAGTAATCAATCAGGCAAAGAGCCCCTGTTATGGCTATTCCTTGCAAGCCATGGATGAGGACACGTTTACCAGCATATTGCAGACATTTTTTACCAGTCTGTCCCCAACTTGTAGGCTCAACTTGCTTTACAGTTTGAGAATGTTTTTCAGCTGAAGATTTAGGCTGCTCAGATTCCCCAGGTAAAGTTTCTGTTTGAGTCGATTGGTATGCTTTATGAGCCAAGTCTTGTGTTACGCTCAGATACATATTTACAGCAGAATCTTCCCTTTCACATTCTATATCCTCTTGTTCTTTCTTCAGGTATTTATTCGTATCTGTAAGACCCTCCATTTTCCTGTAAAGCTCCTCAATCGTATTTTGGTATTCTTCTATCTGGGAATTTTGCCTTACATTATTTTCAGAAAGCTCTAGATTCTCAAATCGAAGGTATTCATTTTCCTGCTCATATCCTTTATATTTTTCTATCAGAGCTTTTTGCGTTTCTATCAACTTGTCCTTGACCAAAGATTCTTGATTAAGCTGCTGCATTCTATTTTGAAGATTTGTATATTCTTGGTCCTGATCTCTTATCTTGGATTTCAGTGAAATTATAACATCCTTTTTTTCATCAATCTTTTCAGTTAAATAAGAGTTGCGTTCCAATAATGCTTCATTATCTTTCAACGTCTCTGTCTGTTGTTGTATCTTACGTCTCAAGTCAACGTTTTCTTGCTGGAGTTGTTTGGTTTCCTGATGATATGTTTCTTCCAAATCTACCAAATCATCCTCAAGAAAGTAATATTTTTCTTTCAGCTTTTTAATCTGATTTAGAAAACTTTCATGCCCTTTTCGAAAATCCATCTTTTTGGCTTTCTTAGGCTGTTATTTACTCTCTTGATGAAGAAGCAGGAATGTGGCCTGCCCAAATGTCTAGAGCCGTATATTCACAACCTATGCCCGAGACAGGCAAGTGGAATGTGACGTCATAGTGAGGTGTAAAAGGCTTCGTGGGAAAACACCTATGGGCGTTTCTAAATGCGTTCTCGCCCCGCCCTCTTGAGTCAGACTCATTGAGATTGACAGCTGTCCCAGCATGCACTGCGGCTGCAGCAGCTTTCAATGGCGCGCTCCATTGAAAGTTAAAAGTTCTCGTTTCTTTTGCTGTTGTTCAATAAAAGTACGTTTTAAGATCATTTTAGGCGAGAATATTATACTTTAAAACGTCACTATATGGTCCATTTACCGATTTAATCCGTAATAATAAAAAAAAAGATTTCCGAAGTTGAGAGGACCTCCGAGGGTAGCGGGAGGCAGGGCTAACCGCAGCTCGTCTGCAGCAGCCCTCTAATTTCAGATCTCCATAAC